AAAAACATTTATTTTTCACACAGTTCTATTTAGCTGTGGAACTGCAGGAGAAGACTCATGTTGACACCTTCTTGTTTGTTGCTGTTTGTGTCTGTCAGCAGTTCTTCTGAAGAGCAACAGTTCAAACTAGCAAAGCATGTTGGTTTGAAAACATTATCCACAAAATATTCTGGGTATTAGAACAATCCAGCTGTCTTTTGTAAAATATTAAGATGTGATCTTCTCTTTTTGTCATTATAAAACAAAATACTATTGTTTTCATTTTGAACAAGAGGCGTATGTTACGTTTTTTTATGAAAAGTAAACAGTACTATAAGTTAAAAGTACCACATTTTGGCTTTGGACCTTCTCCTTCGAGTAGAAATTCTGAAGCTGGTCAAAAGATCTTTCCCATTTCCCTCTCTGGCATTTGTTTCCATCCTTGCTTTGACATTTTGTGGAAAACTCTTTCCAAATTGATTGTTTAAAGTCTGGGTTCACTGAGCGTGTGATCCATCTGCACCTTTTATGACCAATTAAACGGCTTCTCACATATACGCTGACACCTTTGTGGCTCCTTTTTGCTGAATCTTTTGTTTCCCTTACTGTAATTTTCCGTAACCCCATATTATGGTTACACCTTCTTCAAATAAATTTCCCTCTGCTGTTATGGCAGGTAAATAAGGGGAAGCCACAGAAGCAGCAGTAGAAATGCATATGTGGTGCTTTGATTGACATTTTCTCTTTCAAGTACATTTAACTGTTTGTATCCTGTAACTCTCATTGGTCTGTGCTTTAACCTTATTTGTTCTTAGAGGCTCAAATCAAAAAGAAGTTTCCTTTTACAAAATTGTTATTATAAACTAGTCTTATGAGGAAATTACATCCTTTTTTGGGAACACTTATTTAACAATCAAATAAACATTAGCTATTTTTTCTGTAAGTTTCCCATCTCATAATAACAGGGGGTTACAGGGTCAAGTTGTAGTTGGCGTGCTGGATGACGGTTGTGATTCACGGTGTGTGTGTGTGTGTGTGTGTGTGTGTGTGTGTGTGTGTGTGTGTGTGTGTGTGTGTGTGTGTGTGTGTGTGTGTGTGTGTGGCCTAATTGTAACACACACTCTCAAATGATGAGCGACTCCCGCTCTCAAGGCACTTCATGGGAGAGTACTGTAAATGCAACTCAACCATAGGCACAGTTGTATGTCATTTTTATCCCCACAGATACTCACATTTACACAGTTTATGTTATTTTTAATCAGCTCTTTTGAGTTACGCCAGGAAACATTTTAAACGTGGACGGATATTCTAACTGTCATCTGTGGTACCAGAGAGATGATCCTCCCGAGTTATTAAGAGTTGTTTTTCAGCTGTAGATTTTTGTACAGTAGCTTTCTTTTCATGCGTTGTAAATGGGTACCATAGTCCTTGAACCTTGCCCGAGGCCGCAGGAGATGATGGGACATGTCTGCACAGAAGGATAGATGCGGATGGAATTATATATGACGGCTGGCTAATCGGGTTTGATGCTGGTGAAGGGAGGAATAATACAAGCCCTCTGTAATTATGGCAATTAAAGCCCTGCTCTATTGGGAGACAGGAGAGGAAAACAATTATCAAATGATTCATCATTTGAATTAAACATTGATTGATTTGAATGGGGTTCAAAGTTGAATTCTCATTATTGGTTGCACAATGAAATGCAGTTGGGTTTAACCTGAAATGGTTTATTTTTTCACTCATTCTTCACATAAATATTTATGCCGCTGTACTCCTCAGCTGCTCACCAAAAACTCTGTCAGGAAAAGGAGTGTTTGCCTTCATCAATATTTATTAGCTGCCGTGTAACCTCAGGAGTGACAGGGAGTGGGATATATTTACGCTAACAAAGTTGTAAATCCCTGATATAGGAGCCTTACGGCCATACTGGCCAGCAGCTGAATTTCAGCCATGGTTTTGCTGCCAACATTGAAATATGAACTTAATTGAACTTTGACACCCTATATTCCCTCGTCCACACGTCCAATATAATTCTCGCGTTGACTGGAAGAGGAAAAGTTAACTCCATTACAAAACACATCAGAGTCAAATTGAGGTTGTCATAACTTCTCAATTTGCACTAACTCTTCATCTTGTGTGTTTAGTTTGAAGCCGGTGATATAAACGCTTTTATTGTATACAACATTTGCTCTGCACCACTATAGTGGTGCAGAGCAAATGTTGAGTATGGTCACCAGGTTAGGAATGGAAAATAAATACAACTAACAGGTGCAAGAAAACAAGATACTGTACTGGTAAAAACCCATTTATATTGAGGTCTGTATTAAAAAAAAAGAAAGAAAGTGAAACAGTAAATATATCGCTTTAAAAAAGTAGTTATATCTCTAATAAAAGAGAAACCTCGCAAGAAAGGGCTAATTACATTACATCTTTAAGAAAGCAAATTCTCAGATCAATGGAAAGAAAAGCAGTCGGATGTGTCTCTGCAGGAACAGGTTTGTGTTTAGGCAGAAAGCTGTAACACCATGGTTCTGCTCAGATGGCCCGTACAGCATTTGTAACCAGAGTCCAGCCTGCCCTGTGCATCCACCTGTGGAACAGATTGTTCAGCGATGAGGAATGCTTGTCTGCAGAAAATCTCCACTGTAGTAAATTGTTGCTTTGCATACCAGAGGGTAAAAATGTGGCATTCTGTTCTTTTTCTATTTTACATGATAACACCCTTCAGAGTGAGTCCACTACTGAATACATAAAATGCATCACATTGTCTTCATGAAAATGGGAAAACACTTTTAAATAAGAACAGATCTAAATAATGGTGCAATATGTCGTCTGTAATTCAATTATATTGCAGCCAAAAAGAGAAGTTCATTTTGTGTTGGACCAGAACTAGCAGTCATATTCCAATTGGAAAACTTCACGTATCTCTATATAAACATTTCTCTTGTATCCAAAATATTGGAAGGACACGAAGAAGGAAAGTTGAATATTTTTTAACTAGGAAGTTGGCATAAACTTAGGAAAGAACTTTTGAAAAAAGGTTTTATTTGTTATATTAATTATTACTTAGACATTCTCTAGTTTCAGCTTGTTACATTTGACAATGCTCTTTTCTTTTTTCATTGTAAATTAATAGTCTTTGGATAAAGACCCGTTGGTTTGAGGAAGAAGCATTTTGACCGCTTGAACTTTCACTCTAAAAAAAAATACGCCGCGGCTCTACTTAAATAAATTGAGGTAACAATTTGCGTTGATCTTTTTAAGTATTTCCAATTTAATCGATTATCAAGTTAATCCGAGTACCCATTGATAATCTGATTAACTCAATTAGTTCAGTACTACAAACATAATTGCTTTCACCTTTAAAAACTAAATTAGGTTGAACCAACTTAATTTTAATCGTAAAGATGGAGTGATATTAAGTTGCATTTTGTTTAATTTAAGCTGTTGTCANATGGCTCCGTTCCTTTCAAAGAGCCGTTCAAAAGAGTCGTTCAAAAGAGCGTGATTATTTCGCAGATAAACCTAGTAACCCCGCCCCCTTTAAAAAAACGGCTCTTTTGAACGACTCTTTTGAACGGCTCTTTGAAAGGAACGGAGCCATAAGATCCGGCTCCCTTCAAAGAGCCATAAATCCCATCACTACTACCAGCGTCCTTGCGATCTTGTTATAATAACAAGTTCACGTTTCTGATGCAATATGGTTGAGACCATTCGGGCCTATTCTAGAGGGGTGCAAGGAATAGTCCAAGTAGTGGGGGAGTTTTATACAATATGTTTAAAACATAATAATAAAAAGGTTTAAAAAAGTTATTGTTTAATGTTTTAAGGAGGTGACGCTACTCAGCCAATCAAATCGGTGCAGTCAGCACGATAGATTCAAACACACACAGAGACACGACAAGAGGAGAGAAACAGTCGGAGTAATTTCAAATGGCGGAAGGTAGACAGCGAAAACCGAGCATTTAATTACATTTTCTCTTACTGGACCTCTTTGAAATGCAATTGAATACCCCTGCATTATAGCAACAACAACAATAATAATAATAATAATAACAGCAATAATAATTGGGAGGGGGGGCGCGGCTTTTCTTATGTTCTCTGAGGGGAGGCTCACCTACCCACACTTTGAAAACCCCTGGTCTAAGTGGTTCGACGTTTCATTCAAAGCTTCATTTTGCCATCACTACAACCAGTCTTGGAGCATTATCGCCTATGACATCACTTACGCGACCCAGAATGCATTTGGGATTTGTAGTCTTTCTCGTTGCGTATTTTTCATAGTCTTATATTTCAACAGTTCTCCGACAAACTGTGACTTTTTTTACATGGAAATGATTGTTTAAGATTGACAAACATCATACGTGTCATTCGTGGCACAATTCAAGCGGGATCAAAAGATAACTTTTCTCTCCATTGACTTCAATGTATAATTTTCCGCTTCCGGGGTCCCATGGAGGCTCCCGGAAGGGGAGGGACTTTGCCTCTCTATACATTATGTGGATTTTAAAATATTTTAAAGAGGTGTTCCCTCTATTTAAAAAATAATAAAGCTTGTAGGAACAATTGAGATTGTTATATGTGAATGTAATAATTTAAATAAAACAATATCAGTGTTAGAGAAACGTTTATGAATATAGGCTGTCAAAGATGCTTTAAATAAGTGAGGGTAAAAACATTGAGTTGTTCTTAGTGGCCTACAGACACACTTGGTAGAACTTAGAAGGCTTTATCGTACTTTACATTACACTTCCCCCCCCGAATATCCGTTCCCAGTCGTTACATGGGTTATGCGCGCTCTCGCAAAGCTCGTGCATTTCTAGAAAAGCCGGAAGTGAGAAGTGACGTAGCATGAGTTTTTAAATAAATAAATAAGATTAATGTGCATTTGTTTTAGAAATAATTATACATCGATTACAGTTTGTATGCTTACCAAGTGATAGTTATATAAAAAAACATATTGAAAAAAGAGCATTTGTTGTCATTTTTACGCGGGAGTTCAAAGGTTACTAACAAAATGGCTGCACACACTGCAGCCACGATCTCAATTCTATCAGCAGCCGGATAATGAGGATATATCTCGATGTTTTGATCCACGACTACCGCAGGCAACATTATATGGATCTATTCTCTCTATTTAATACGATTGGTAGTCATGGCCGACTTTTATTAATGAATACGTCCACTGAGGTTGCAATAAAAACACTACAGCAGTCTCCGGGCGACACAACCTGAATATAAAGCATTCATTACAGAGTCAGTGACATTACAGTACTGCTTGCGTCTGACTCAGAGCCTGTTTGTTCTACTCTCGGCAGTCTGCATGCATGTGGAAGTAGCCTCTCACGGCTGGTGAGACGAAGCACCAATACAAGGAGCAGAGTTCCGGCATGTTGAAACTTTAGTCAACACAACAGAGACAAGAGGATGAACAAGAAGAAGGACAAGGGCTTTGAGAGCCCGCGCCCCTTTAAATTATAAGTATTTTCATTTAATACCATACTTGTAGGCATTACATTATTTGCAGTAATGTTCCATACTGAAGCAAAGGTAACGGTAGCTTAACGTTTTGCGTGAGTAACAAACAGGCAGCAGAGTTTCTTAAAGTACAAAGACCGTTATCCGCTGACTGAATGAGTATCTAGTTTAGTTCACATCGAATACTGATATTGTTTTTCTGTTATTGTTTTTACGACCCACCAGGTGGTGTGCATCAACAACATCAACTTCCAGAGAAAGTCTGTCATTGTGAGTACACAAGTTACAGTCTTACGTTATTGTCATAGGTCATTCTGCGGTTGTTGGACAGAAAACAGCTGGCCAGTGGTGTAAAGTAACTAAGTACATTTACTCAAGTACTTTATCAAAGTACAATTTCGAGGTACTTGTACTTTACTTAAGTATTTCAATTTGTTGCTACTTTGTACTTCTACTCCAATATAACTCAGAGGTAAATGGTGTACTTTGACTCAACTACATGTATTTAATACCTTTAGTTAATTTACAGATCCGGATGAATGATGTGAAATATAATCAAGTGTTAAATCAGACTTTAGTTCCACCTGGAGTAAATTCACAAGCTACCCTGCAGTATACAAAGTCATTCAAACTAGCTGCACCTTTACCAGCTTTGAGAACACTTTAATGATCAATCATTATAAAATATATCATATATATTATTCTGAAATGGACCAATCTGCACAATGACTACTTTTACTTCTGGTACTTTAAGTATCTTTTGATGATAATACTTTTCTACTTTTACTTGAGTAACATTTTGAATGCTGGACTTTTACTTCTAATAGTATTCCTACACTCTGGTACTTCTACTTTTACTTAAGTACAAGATCTGAGTACTTCTTCCACCTCTGCAGCTGGCTGTTATTACACCCACTTGATTCCATCCAGTTACTGACCCCCTTGTTATGATATATATCGAACAGACTATAGATATAACTGCTTTCTTGTCCACTTATACACCTATTCACATTGCACCCATACAAACAGGAAGAATATCGAACTGGATTTAAAATACAACTGCATACTGCCTTTAAAACCTTAGACTGAAACACTTTGGGGAATTAGTCAAATGGTCTTTATTATTGGTATTTGCTAGATATTATGTAGGTCTATGTGACAGACTAAAGCATGTTACTGTGTTACAGAAAGTACACTTTTAATGTCCTCTTATTCTTATTTTTGTCTTTTATTGCTTGTCTTTTTTATTGTTTGCAAATAGTTGTGTATGTGGGTGTGTTTTAAGCACCACTGGTACTTAACTTCAATTTCAATGTATTTTCTATATAATGACAAAAAAGGTTTCTATCTATGTGAAACATAAATCCCAATGCACTCAAAGACTTGCTGCTGTGATAAACCAGCATAGAGAATTGAGTTTGGAACATTTCTAGATGAAAAAACGGTCCAATGCAGGTTATATGATTCAGACAGTGAACTTTACCTCAGTAACTGTTGACCACTGATGTCCGTCGTTACCAACTTCTTCCTCTGTTTGCATCCCTCAGGGCTTTGTTGAGCTGACCATTTTCCCCACGGTGGTCAACCTGAACCGGATCAAGCTTAACAGCAAACAGTGCCGCATCTACAGGGTCCGAGTCAATGAACTGGAAGCACCATTCATTTACAATGACCCTACACTGGAGGTGTGCCACCATGAGTCCAAGCAGTGAGTATGGCATTCCACTTTCAGTGGAGTGCAGATTCTCTACTGAATACTGAATGTGTTATGCCTTAATCCTTGAAACAAGGTTAGTTTAATTTAATAAGACAAAGACCAATTGTCAGGAGCATTAACCTGAAAACCCCAAAAAGGGTCAGGAAGCAGCCACACTGTCCAGAAAATACCCCAGGTCAGAGAGTGCAGAGCATCAACAGTTTAATCTTTATCACTGACAGACAGTCAAACCAAACATCAGTATGTTTCAGCAAAGATAGAAAACACATGCAAGAGGGCAACCTGGACGCAAGAAGGGGCAAAAACCACCATATATTTCATAAACAGTTTTTCTTTGCTCATCTTTGACTAATCAAGGTCGTTCAGATAGATTGTTAACGGTGTTCATGAATGACCTTCTGTAATCAACTAGTCCACCTTATTTCTGAAAGAGTTGTGGCTCCTTGCTCTTAATCCAGTCTTCCATACTCAAACGGTTTCCTCACTATACAATGACTGAGAGTGACTTCTTCGCAGAGAGATATGCTGGACAATTTAAATGTTGCATCAATTAAACATTTATTATCTTCACTTTACTGTCCAGTAAACACACTATGTGGCATATTGGCATATTTAAGAAATCTATAAAGAAAATCTTTTTACTGTTTGACAGTGCAACAGTTGATGCATCAATGTACCTGTACCACAGCCATGACAACATACATATTCATTTTATTCTCTTTTTTTTATTTTACAAGACTGTTGTATTAACTAATAACTACCTACCGCATACAATTTGATATGACATTTCAAAATCTTTCTTATTGATCGCATTGTAAAAGACACCTCTAGGATTTCTAGAAATAGAAATTATCTTAATATTTTGAATATTTAATTTACAAAGAAAATTGGATAGCTATCTGAGTCTGCATCTGTAAACAATGTCTGGAATTGAATTGCCAGAAAATGTTCCAACTGAAAGTTGTGTCGGAAGATTCATTTGTTACATTTCTGGCAATACGTTTTGAAATCTTACTAAATGAGTATTTCTGATATCCTGCTTTGGGAAAAGTTGTTTGTGACGGTGAGGCATGGAGAAGAAACTCACATCTATTATTTAGAAAGTATTTAAGAGAACATTTTTTAATTTTTCGAATTTTGACTCCTGTAACCGTCACATTTCAGCAGGTCTGGTCATGTTACTATAAATACCATTGTTCGCCTACTTTAAAAGAACCTGTTTTGTGTAAATGTTTTGTGTGTCTGTTAGGAGGAACCTCAACTACTTCTCCAGTGCCTACACTGCAGCAGTGAGTGCTGTGGATCCTGATGCAGGACATGGCGAGCTCGTCATCAAAGTTCCCTCTGAGCTCTGGAAACAAGGGGACGGTAAGACCATGGCACAAAGGCCACTGCAAATCAAGAAATAGGTGTTTGGATCATGTTTCCCTTGAAAATCAAAGACTATCATAATCTTAGGTCCTTTTAAATTCCATCCTCTTCATCAGATTGATTTCTTGCCTGACATGAGGTATATTAACACATTTCCCTGGAATGCAACAAATGTTGTTGCTGGCCGTCCACACCGATAATTGACAGCAATGTTACTATGAATGAATGCCTGATACTACAGAATCAAAATCAGAACAGGTTTACTCCCAAGTAGGTTACACATATGAGGAATTTGCCTTGGTAAGTATGGTGCGTATCTAAACACAGTTAAAGAATATAAATAGTAAGAGAGGACCAACAAAATAAAACCATTATAAAAAACGTTTTAAAGAAAACTATTATAACATTAAAATATAGCAATATTTAGATTAAATATAGATACAGCCATTAAAAGTAAAATAGAATAAATCAAAGTAAAAATATGTGCACTATTGGTATGACAATTGGAAAGCTGTGCAGATATAAGAGGTAGCTTGGCTACAATGTGCAACATTTGGGAGGTTGTGCAGGACTGACAGTTTTTGTTTCATGTTCCTCCAGAGCTGAAAGTTTTAAAGGTGTACATAGAGTTTTCCCTGGACCAGCCAAAAGGAGGTCTTCACTTCGTCGTTCCAGATGTGGAAGGCAGCATGGCGGAGAGGGGGGCTCACGTTTTCTCCTTCGGATACCAGAACTCCACCAGGTCTGCAAACAAGGCCAACCATTATTTACACTGCAGGGCTGGGCTATATGGAGACAATCAAATGTCTCCATATTGTATGGTCGACTTTGTAATTATAAATAAATAGATGATGTCATCATTAATTATGTTGATATAAAGGCTACGTGGGTAAATACACACGATAGAAAACCTAGAACCGTGTGGTCAATTCAGAAATTGACATCACTTATTGACCCTTTTGACCTTTTTTGACTTCATAAAGGACAAATAATGATTCAATTATCAACATTATTGTATTGCTGGGCCATATGGAATAGATTAAAGAACACAACATTTATGACCAAATACCTGGAATAGAAAATAGTGAAAACATTGTAGGGTCGATCTTTGATGCTTTCACAAAATGTTTTCACAGAGAGTTTCGATAAATGATCATAAATAGTGTGGTTTTAATGACTAAGCTAAGTCTTTAAAATTCAGAAAATGACTTCACTTTACTTTAAGGCAGCCTTAAAACAATAAAATACACTTATGCAATATTACTTTATCTAAGACGATATCTAGTTTTATATCAAATCAAATTAAGTTTTTATTTATATAGCACATTTATAAACGATTTTTGGTCGAGCCAAAGTGCTGTACACATAATAAAGATAGCCTACAGTAGAGACACTTTACAGCTAATAAGCACAGATTGTTCAGAATATCAGTATGAGAAAAACGACACCCTCTATCCTTAGACCCTCACAACGTACAAGGAAAACTTCCAGAGAAAACCCACAGTTTAAAGGGAAAAATGGGAGAAACCTCAGGGAGAGCAACAGAGGAGGGATCCCTCTCCCAGGACGGACAGACGTGCAATAGATGCCGTGTGTTAATCGAAGAGATAATACATTTTACACCATATAGACCGAATGTTTGGAAATGCATGTGTCTATAATAAGGAGATGAATCTACGAAGATGTCAACAATCCTGTGGGAGCCATCAGGGAAGCAGCACGACGAGACTCAGGCAGGACCGCAGAGACAGGTTCAGCCACGACCCGAAGTCCACGACTTAATCCAGAACTCAGGATAGAGGATCCAGGACATAGGACCACAGCAAGAAGATCAGCCTCGACTCCGGATCCCGGCGTCTATATAGACACAAAACAAGAAAAGATTTGGCTGGGTTAATCTAAATATCCAGATACAGATATAATATAGATATTGCCCAGCCCTAGTTCAGTCAAAAAGCAACATTACACCTGGAGATAAACCATGTTTTGTGCTGCTGATACATGCATTTGTCCATCCACTGGTGTAATGAGGGGAGAAGGTCAGATGTTTTCAGCCTTTGTCTCAAGCTGCCTTTTTACATTGTTATTCCGTTCAGGTTAGATTGAGTGCTACTTTTCTCAAAGTGATATGAACATGTAATGAATGAATCGATACAATAGATTCTCAACCTATGGTCACTGTCACAGTGTAACAAAAAGAAAACGAATCCAGGCACAAAGCACAGCAGAGGTTACAAGGGAAAAAAAAAAAATGTTGGTGACGAAAGTAGTCTTGAAGTCCAAAATGTGATGAATCCTCCAAAAACAAATGTCCATCTTGACCGCAGTGCTTTAATGATGAGATATTGCCATGCTACTTCTTTGTAGTGCAATGTTTTTTTAATTCTCACACCGTTATCCATCTTAAGTACACAGTCACTAAGCCTCCTACATGTAGCCTGTTTTGTAACAACCATTAAACCTTTACTATTTGTCTCACTGCATTTCCTGTGCTGTAATGCAGACCCACACTAGCTCCATGATACCAATGGTCTTTGCATAACTCATTATATTGTCCCCCCCAGATTCTGGTTCCCCTCTGTGGACTCCTACTCAGAGCTGTGCACATGGAAGCTGGAGTTCACCGTGGATGCTTCCATGGTGGCGGTATCCTGTGGAGATCTGGTGGAGACCATCTACACTAATGACATGAGGAAGAAGACCTACCACTACATCCTCCCCATCCCCACCGCGGCCCCCAACATCTCTCTAGCTGTGGGGCCATTTGAAATCCTTGTAGATCCCTACATGCATGAGGTGGGTTTGCAGTGACCAGAAACAGTTACAAATGATTATGTTTCTGCATGTAGTTAGCCCTAAATCAATGTTTTGTTTTTTATTTTAGCTTTGGCAACTTAAACAAACCTATCTACACTTTTCTCTACTGTTTTTTTTTTTACATCTTTCCTTCAGCTGAATCCACATAGTTTATACAAAAATGGAAGCAGACATGAGAGAAATAAAAAATACAATTTAAAATAATAAAGGAAATTAGTTTAGGAGGTGTGGGGAAACTTGGATGGCCTCACTGTATGAATCCAGTAATGGCAAAGGTCCACTTTTTAGTCTACGTTAATTAGTTTTGAACTGCGTAGGGTAAATTGTGATTCTCTTACAAAAGATCTGCTTTTACTTAACCTCTTAAAATCTAGAATGAAGACACCAGTATTATATGGAACTAGAAAAAAACCTAAAGAATCTAGTGGTTCATGTCATGTCAGGAAGAAGGCTCAGTAAGGCTCCAAAGTCAGGTTACATTTTGGGTAACCACATATCTTCCTTCCACAGACATGCCCACTTTATGATTATAATGTAGGAAGAGGAAAGAGTAAGATTTCATGTTAAACATTAACACAGAGAGACGCAGGATTAAATGTTTATATATATTCATGGTATCTGTGTAATGCAGTAATATGTTATCCATCCTTGTATGTTCTACTTAATGACCACTAGATGCCCCTAAACACAATGTAGCTGTATTGAAGATGAGTTGAAAAAAGTGTAGTGGTGGAAATGGACTTCCCGCCTTTGTAAGGTGTAGTGATCAGATGTGGAAGAAGTACTCAGATGTTATACGTAAAAGTAATAAAACCGCGTTGCAGAAATACTCTGCTACGACATGATGAAGTGGGACATCTAAAAGTCCCGCATTCAAGTTACTTAAGTAAAAGTAAAAAAGTATTGACAGCTAAATGTACTTAAGTACTAAATCTAAAATGACTCATTATCCAAGTGGCCAATTTTAGAACACTATATTTGTTATCATTGGATTATATTTAGATATCCATTAACGAGTTTAACATTTGATTTTGCAGCTTGTAAAGCTGGAGAGAAGTTTAATTACTTTTTTAGACTGCCAGGTATTTCCATCCATTATAATACATCATAATGCTTTAGTTTAATTACATTTTTGTATAAAAAAAATATGAACCTGCAAAAGTAACTAATGTTGTGATATAAATGTAGTAGAGTAAAAAGTACAATATTTGCTTTCAAAATATATTGGAGTAGAAGCACAAGGTAGCAAGTAAAGTACATGTATCTTAAAAATTTACTTAAGTACAGTACTTGAACAAATGTACTTAGCAACTTCCCACCACTAGTAGTGATGGTAGTGATGCAGTAAAGGACAACAATAGGGTTATTGTTATCCTGTCAGGGTAGCTGTCATTAAACGACACAGAATATAACAGATGATAGAAACACAGTTTTGTTAACATGAACATTTTCCCCTTTTTTTTGGTACAATATTCCGAATAATTAACTCTAATATTGTCCTGCCCGCCTC